CCATTTATGCAGTTTTTTTTTTGATTCAGGTGAAAATGGTGCTGCACCAAAATGGCGTCTAACGGCCGAACTCCAAGGTACCGAATAACTCCAGTATGCAACACCGATTTCTGTGAGAAAGGTGGTGGCGCCAAATGGCGCCAGCGTCAAAAACGAATGTCATACTCGTGATCAGGATATCGAATTACCTTCATGGACAAAATATCAAAGTGAAAAACTTTTTCTTTTTTTTGATTTTTGGAGTGGTAATAGTTGAATAGTGCCTAACATTATGACCGTGTTGGCTGATCGCCAAGGAACAAGCAAGCGATACAAAAGTATTGGTTAAACAGAGCCGACTGATTTTTGATAACATTGTGCACACAGGAAAGAATATTTCATTCGGTCAATAGTCAGTAGTATCACATAAGAACCCAAAACGAGCAAGACCTGCATGAAAGGACTAATTTACTGGGCACGGTAAAAGCTTGAACAGTACTGAGAACCACCCCTCCCAGTGAAACGGAATGCAGTGACTGCGCTACGGCGGTTTTAGCCTGCTCTACAAGTAATTGCATTAAGCTGACAGAACTCCCAGAACTGAGAAAAAGCCCCGAACTGACATGAGGAGAGCGGGAAAAGCAAGTAGCTGTTAAACAGTCGCTAATCATATGAAATCTCCACTGAGCAAGTAGAAATACGGAATATTCAAGAGCTGAGTAACTTTTTTATATCTAACCTAGCTCGCTGCGGACGAAGGGAAGCGCCAGGCGGGATGATTTAGCGCGTTTCAAAACCCGCTCCCGACTGGTCGATGAAGCAAGGAAGTAACAAGACTGTCATATCATGGCAGAAAAATGATTGTTGCCATGCCAGATTCCAACTGTCTGACACGCCCCTCATCCGCAGAGAACTAGGGCTTACCTATTCCACGATTGTAAGTCCCAGGTAAATGTGTTTGAAATTTTTTGAAATTTTGAAAATTTGGCCTGCATGGCCTGCAAGTGAATAAAAGAGAAGCTGCCAAAAAGCCCTAAATCAGACTATCCTCTCTGCACTGGATTTAGAAGATTGGAGGCTAAGATACATTTTCTGAGAGATCAGAGGGCGAAGGGTAAAAGAGCAGAAGGATCAATGAGACGATAGAAACAAGGCGCTGCCCAATGGGTAGGGCGGTTACTGATGGGTGGATGTCCACAGTTAGCGACAGTCTCAACGAGTTAATCACTCATCGTCAAACTGTGTAAATGGTACATTCTAGCACCGGGCCAGTGGCTAATGCCGTTTGGACTCCAAGAATTTCGGCACCGAGCTCATTTTTAAATTGCCTAAGTCACCAAATCCGCTAAAAACTTGTATATAGGGGTAGTTTAACATCCTGATTAAGAATATGACATTCACTTTTGTCGCTGGCGTCAAGAGAGGACACTAGGATCACCTCCTAGGCTCAGCCTTAGCAGAGCGCAGATAATCGTAGTGTCATCCATTAGCGCCAGCGACAAGAGTGAATGTCATATTCTTAATCAGGATGTTAAACTACCCCTATATACAAGTTTTTAGCGGATTTGGTGACTTAGGCAATTTAAAAATGAGCTCGGTGCCGAAATTCTTGGAGTCCAAACGGCATTAGCCCGGGTCAGCTCGCAATTACAGGGGCTTCTATGAACAGGATGTTCTCCCGCCACAAGGGACCAGAGGCTTTCTCGTCTTCTGAAGGCTTTCTCGTCTTCTGACCGAGGCTTTGAAGGAAAGAAACCGATAGAGAGGAAAGGAAGGAAAGGAGGGAAGAAGAAAAAAAATGCGGGGAGGAGACTTGGCGGTAAATAGGCATCTCGTACACGGAAAGAATCCTACGGTGTCAGGTAATTGTGGGGTTAATTTGTCGGAGCTGTTCTTTGACAATTCACAACATTGCTCTATCCAGAAAAAGACTCCTATCAACAAACTGGGAGTCTTTACCTACCAGTTCCCAAACAGTGTTATCCAAGGCTACGAATTTGATTCGCCAACAAGTTACAATAGCTTGAGTGTTACGTAATATTCTTATAGTTAGCCAACCGAATCTAAGTATACTATTACTGGTCTTTGAAACAAACAAATGACAACAAGGTAGAGAATATGCACAACCATATACACACTATACAAATTACGTAAAGCAAGTGTAGTTGGTTACGGTTCGAGCTCGAATCCCTCCGTGGCAAATATTGCTTTATGCCAAAGATCTGGTATTTTTCCACATTCATTTAGT